CCCATTTGAGTGTGTCAAAGTTCCCTAAGAGCCTCAAAGGGACTCCGGACAATGCTCACACCCAAATGTATTACCAGATTAACACAAGTGCAGTGTGGAAAGGTCAGCCCTCAAGTGTCCAAGTTCAGAGGAAACTCAAGGTCCCAAGGCAAGGCTCACAAGAGGGGGGCAGAACTTAAAGACTAAGAGAGAGTGCAAGTGCAGAAACAGAATTCTGAGAGGGAAAGGGGAAAAGGAGAGGGAAATACGTACACATAAGAGTTTAGGGGAGTGGGGAAATTGAATGAGGCAAGGGCAGGCTGTGGGCATGCCCAGCAATGGAGAATGCTAGCATACCATAAACTTGTCCAAACATACATTAATAGAGGCTAGGATCCCAAGGGATCAGGTTTGGTTTGTGGGCAACAATTTACATATTGCCATGCTCCAAACCATAGCTTAAACACACAAGGGGGTGGGGAATAGGGATTTGTAACAGAACAGGCAGGAAAAGAAATCAGTAATGCTGAACTATACAAAAGCAGTAAGTAGACAGGGATAAACACATTGTTATGGTGCTGAAACTTAAATCAGAACATACCAGTTACAAAGAAGCAAGTAGAGAAAAGCAGTAAGTCTTGTAAACAGGCCACGATGCAGACAATAAGAGAAAATACTATTGCGTGTAAGTGTGAGTTTTGAAAGACTATGAGTGTGCCCCGTGTTAATGAAAGAGTCATGCATTTATAATGTGAAAATCAGGCAGAAATAAGGTAAGAAAACAATTAAGGAACTGAATATCAATTAAGAATCGATCACACAAGATTTTCTTTAATTAAGGAATTCAGATTCAAACGGTAAAAGTTATTTAAGGAAAGAAATCAAAAAAGCATTTTGTGCAAAGTAGGCAAGTAGGGGTAAATACATAGAAGTTTATTTTAGGGGCAGAGCTTTGAAATACACGGTTGCATAAATAAGGTAAGAGAAATCAATTAGTAGCCAGTAAATCAAAGATCAGAGATTTTGTAATCACTGGTCCATGAATGAACCAAGTCAGAAAAGTTAAGGAAAGTCAAATAACTTAATTCGAGTCATAGGGAAATCAGCAAACAAGGAAAGAAATCAATTAAACCTATACAGAAAGAAGTCTGAAACTAATCAAAATTTGAAAGCCATTTTAGAGGGAAAGTTCAGCGCATATAAAGAGCATACAAACATATTAAGAAGATGTCGTGTCAATGCAAAATCAGTACACAATAGATTATAGGAGCATGGTAGTCAAATAGGTTAGCAATGTAGAAGAGAAGTAGCATCTAGTAGCATACAAAAGATCCAGTGTAAAAGACCTTAGAAAAGTTTTAGTGGAAAATCAGAATTGCTTAAAGAGACAGAGGTTGAGACAAAGAATTTCGAGACTCAGTTGAGAAACAAGTTCAGAACCTCGAAATAGTTAGGGTTCCTGAAATCAAACAGCTTTAAAGATGAAGAGCAAACATATCACATAGCCAATGTTCTCAAACCCGGATGAACCCCCTAATTTTTAGGGTTTTACCATCAATCGAGTGCCGAGATGAGAGGGCGAGTAATCAAGAAAGCAAAAGATATTAGTCGAAACAAGTTCAAAGGTCTCAAAAAGGAACTGGGACCTTCGACATGATTTTCAGTAACAGAAAATCATGAGAAACAAAGAAAAAAATAATATGCGAAACAACAGTAAAAGAACTGGTAGAAGAGAAAAAAAATAAGAACATGGTAGGGAAATCTTAACAAGAGCACAGTAGGAGCAACATAATAGAAGAACATGGTAGAAGAGATTTAACAAGAACACAGTACGAGAAACATAGTAGAGAACATGGTAGAAGAGATTTAACAAGAACACGGTAGGAGAAACATAGTAGAGAAAACACAAGATAAGAAGAAAATCAGAGAAACACACAAGAAAATCAGAGAAACATAACTCAAAACCCTAGATAGGAAAATAAAGGTTTTGAAAGCATAACTTTCTTTTGAAAAAAAAAATCAGAAAATCGTTTAGAAACTTAGGGAAAGCATAAATCTGGAACAGATCTAAAGAGATCAGAAAAACCTCAAAGCTAGGGTTTTCAGAGGAACCCAAACGGTGAAAAAGGCTTGGATCTAAGCAGGAGGAGTTGAGGCCAGGCTCGAACAAACACGGCTTGCCGGAGCAAGGCCGGAAATGGCCGTGGAACTTGAATCGACAGAGGTCTAGACCCAACTCTTCGTGGTCAAGTCATGAAAATTCAGTAACCAAACGTGAGGGGCCATAGGTGGCTTGGTGGGTGGTGAAACCACCATGGATTCAGGTCAGAAGGTGGCCGGAGAAGATGAAGAGAACTCATCGGAGAGGAGGGGAAGGGGGGAAGGTTCTAGAGGGAACCAGAGGTTAGAGAGATAGAGACGAGTGAGGCAAATGAGGGGTTTGGGGGGAGGTCGTTTGGCTTAAAATGGTAAGAACGGATGAGGGCCGTTGATCTTTTAGATCAACGACCAGGATTTAATATGGTTTTGGGTCGGGTAGGGGTAATTGGGGCCTGGGTCGGGTTTTAATTGAAATTGGGCCGAAAATTGGGGTCGAATTTAGGGTCAGATTTTTGGCTAAAATTAAAACGAATTGGGCTATTATTTAAATAGCCAATTTCTCTTTTAAAATTATAAAAAATGGTAAATTGATTTCTGGAAATAAATTGAAAGCACCAAAATGATCTATAATACATAATTATCCATTTAAAAATATGAAATCTGCTTTTAGGAATATGAGATGAATTTAAACCTAAAAATGGCTAATATTGTAATTATGCAATTCTATCCTTAAAAATACCAAATACATTTGTAAAAAAAATGTGTAAAAAAATACCTTAGCCATATTTTAATATAAATATAAAATTCCAATAAATGAATTACCAAAATAACAATATTGGAAATAATCATTGGGTTTTTATAGATGGAAAAGGGAAATAAATCAGTTTAAAAGCCCTAAAAATTATGGAAAAAATAGTAAGATGCTTGGACATACTTATATATGCATATATATGCTATTTTATAAAGATATTTTGCATATAAAAATATACAGGGAGCGCTTTCCCCCGAAAGGGGCCCTACGCGGCGCGAATCCGGATATAGTCGGGCTCCAATGCGGGTAAGGACACCGGGTGGGAAACAAAAAAAAACTCCTTATTTAAGTTTTATATTGGAATCAATTCTGGCTCAAATTTGGACCCAAAATATTTTTTGTCTATCTAAAGAGAAACATGGCAATTGTTTTTTGTTTATGTACGTTCTACGTAGGCGCTGTACAAATATTTACTCTATCACAATATCATGTAGGGAACTATGTTAATCAGCATATTTAACCTTTGTTTATTTATAAAGTGTAATGCTAAACTAAAGTTAGTGAGTTAGTTAAGAAAGTTAGTTTGAGTTTGTTATAAGTAGTGGTCGTTTGTACAGTTAGCCTTAAGCTTCTTTTTTAGAAACAAAGATAGCCTTTCTCTGATTTCCTCTCTTCTAGATTCTTCTTCTCCCTAGCCCAGATCTCTCACCCATGGCAGCTAACATGGTATCAGCGCCACCAGTTGAGATCTAAACGAACTGCGAGCAAAATCAAGTCTTCTTTGTTACTTCAATTCTGCAATTGCGAGCTGAATTGAACAAGAGTAACGTTTGGTTGAAGCTAGGGTTTTCTAATTGCTTACTTCAAAGCTAATTTTTCAGTCAACAATGGCGATTGAAGATGAGCAAATTGGTGCAACGACTACTACTGACAATTTCACGGCTGGAACTGCAACTTTTCCTACAATTGATCACAATCACCCCTTGTACCTGCAACCAACAGACACACCAGGTAGCTCTCTGATCTCTCTTCAACTAACTGGATCAGACAATTACGCCTTGTGGAGTCGTACAATGAGAATAGGTTTGCTAGGTAAAAGTAAATTAGGTTTTGTCGATGGGAGATTTCCAAAATCTAAATTTGAACCTGAGCTTCATGATCTGTGGGAGAAAGTCAATGCTATAGTTCTCTCATGGATAATGAATGTTGTTAGACCAGGATTGTTGAGTAGTGTGTTGTATGCATCTAGTGCTCATAGAGTTTGGGAAGATTTGAAGAAGAGGTTTGATAAAGCAAATGGCTCGAGAATACTCTATTTGCATAGAGAAGTTCATACCCTGACCCAAGGAACTATGACTGTGACTGACTATTTTTCAATACTTAGAGAGCTATGGGATGAGTTTGATGCTCTCATGCCCTGTCCTGGTTGTCCTTTCCTAAATCTAAACAGTATCCTCAACATTTTGAATATCAAAGACTTTTTCAATTCCTCACTGGGTTGAATGAATCCTATTCCCAGTCTAGGAGCCAAATTATGATGATGTCTCCCCTACCAAGTATAAAAAAGGCCTACTCTTTGTTAGTAGATCAGGAAAGTCAAAGGAACCTCACAAGCACAACACAAGTTGCTTAGGTCACTGAAGCCTTGGAGAATGCTTCCCTGTATAGAAGTAGGAATGTGAACAATGCTGGAAACTATAGACTTAAAAGGAATCAAGTTCAGTGTAAATATTTTCATTACAAGGGTCATACAAAGGACAATTGTTACAAATTGGGTATCCAACTGATTTCAAAGCCAAAAGAAAAGGAGTTAGTACAGTACAACATGCCAATTGTGTAGGTAATGCAGAAGCTTTAGGTGCAGAGAGATGTAATATGGCTGCTAGTATGACTCTTACTGCTACTGGATCATCTAGTTCAGGTGCTACACAGCAAATGAATCAACCTGCTCCTTTTCAGCAGATGTCACATCCAGCTCCTATTTTCACTCCTGAGCAATACTAGCAAATTGTTCAGCTGCTCTCTAGAGGAAGTTTAGAAGGATCAGACTTATCCAACAAAGTTGCTGCAGTAGGTATTCTAAATCATGTGAATGCTTTTGTCTCAGTGTGTCAATAGTAAATGGATAGTTGACACTGGGGCTTCAAATCACATGACTTCAAGTTTCTAGATGTTGCATTCTCATAGACCTCTTCCAAGTACAGAAGCAAACAAAGTACATTTGCCTACTGGAAATGTTGTGTCAATGTCTCACACAGGCTGCACATCTATATTAAGTAATCAAGTGATTTCTAATGTTCTGTACATTCCTGACTTTAAGTTCAATTTATTGTCAGTCTCAAAGCTCACTAAGGAACTAAAGTGTATGGTTGGATTCTTTCCTGATTTTTGTATTTTTCAGGACCTCTTCAGTGGTCAGGTGAAGGGGATTGGTAGAGAAGAACATGGTCTGTACATTCTACATGGAGGTATTCCAAAATAAGATCTATATCAGGCAATAAATAAGTATACTAACACAATAAACTCTATGTCTGTCTCTTCCTGTACTTCTGTTTCTAGTATTTTGTGGCATAGAAGGTTAGGAAATGCCCCTTTAGATATAATAAAGAAAGTAGAAGAGCTCAGCAAACTCACAACAGTTGAGCCTCATCACTACACTGTGTGTCTAGTAGCAAAGCAAACTAAGCTGCCCTTTCAGCTAAGCAGTACAACTAAAAAAAATAGCATTTGAGCTAATTCACTGTGATATATGGGGTCCCTACAAAGTACCCACGCATGATGGTAAGAGATATTTTGTTACCTTAGTTGATGATTACACAAGGTATATTTGGATTTCTGTTACAATCTAAGTCAGAAGCTATTGTAGTTTTAAGAAGCTTTCTTAGTCAAATAAAAAATGTGTTCTCTGCTACTGTAATGTTTCTAAGAACTGATAATGGAAGTGAGTTTTTTAGCACTGAATTTAAGACTCTACTGTCTAATCTTGGTATTTTTCATCAAAGTACATGTGTCTATACACCCCAACAGAATGGGGTAGCAGAAAGAAAACATAGAACCATCTTGGAAGTAGCTAGATCCCTCAGATTTCAAGCTGTTATGCCTTTGGTATTTTGGGGAGAATATGTTACTATTGTAGTATATTTACTCAATGGGCTTCCTTCTAAAGTTGTTGGATACAAATCATCATTTGAGATGTTACATTTTCACCCTCTTTCATTGTCTCATCTCAAAGTCTTTGGCTGCTTGTGCTATGCAACTTGTCCCCAAGTACAGGATAAGTTCTCACCCATAGCAGTACTTGTTGTATTTCTAGGATACTCTTCCACTCAGAAGCGTTATTTTTTGTATACTTTGCACTCAAAAATATTCATTGTCAACAGGAATGTTGTGTTTTAGGAGAATATCTTTCCTTTTAAGCATGCCACAACTACTGGAAGTCCTATATTTCCTATCCTAGACTTGCTCTCTCCTGCTCTGAGCAATACTCCTTCTTCTTCTTCTTCTTCTTCTTCTTCTTCTTCTTCTTCTTCTTCAACAAAACTGTCTACTGACTCCAGTTCAGATCAGATGCCTACATATCTCTCTCAGAGAGTCCCTCATTCCACAACAATCTCAGAAGAAGATTCTTCTATGATTCATTCTATTGTTGATCACTTGCCAAATGTCCCTCAAACTGCACATGTACCTCCTCCACAAGTTGCTGAGCCTCCTACTGAACAAAGAAGGTCTTCTAGACCAATCAAGCCACCTCTTTGGCTGCAAAACTATGTCACTACTTCCAAAGGCTCTAACTGTGCTTACCCTATATCCTCCTATGTGGATTACTCTTCTATTGATCCATCATACAAATAGGTCCAGCTTATTCAGCTCTCTCAGAACCAACTTCCTTCAAAGAAGCTGCATCCGATCCTCAGTGGATAGCAGCAATGAAGTTGGAGATTGCAGCACTTAAAGACAACCACACTTGGAGTGTTGTTGACTTGCCACCAGGGAAGACTCCCATTGGAAGCAGGTGGTTTACAGAATCAAATACAAAGCCTCTGGTGAAGTGGAAAGGTTAAAAGATAGGCTAGTGGCCAAAGGCTACAGCCAAAAGGAAGGATTGGACTATGGAGAAACTTTCTCTCTTGTGGCCAAAATAGTAACTGTTAGATCTGTTATTGATTTACAGTGGGTGATCTTTCAAATGGATGTCCACAATGCCTTTCTAAATAGAGATCTCACTGAGGAAGTCTACATGGAATTGCCTGAGGGGTTTGCCAGACATGGTAGTCTAAGAAGAAGGTCCGCAAACTACATAAGTCTCTCTATGGACTTAAGTAGGCACCTAGGCAGTGGAATATGAAGTTGACAGAAGCTCTACTCAACATGGGCTTTCAATAAAGTCATTATGATTATTCCTTGTTCACAAAGAAAGATGGAGATGATATAGTTGTTGTCACACCTCCCTTTTTACCCCGAGGGGGAATAAAGGAATTTTTTCAGTTTAAGTTATAATCGACACAGGATTATTTATATTAAATTCAGATTCGCCACTTGGGATAATTTATGGTGTCCCAAGCCACCGGTTTAAAATCCCGAATCGAGGAAGTTTGACTCTGTTTTACTGTCCGCGAAACACAGAAATCCGGGTAAGGAATTCTGTTTACCCGGGAGAAGGTGTTAGTTATTCCCGAGTTTCGTGGTTTTAGCACGGTCGCTTTAATCATACTTGGCTTAATTAAATTATCTAATTACTTATTTTAGAACTTACGTGCATTCACCTTTTTTAATTAAGAAATTATCTTAAAACAGGTCACGCGTACGTGTACCCATTTATTTGGCGCGTCAAAAATCATGTCACGCGTACGTGTCCACAATTAATAATGCTTTATTATTATTAAGAAAGTTTAGTCCAAGTTGCGCGAATGCATACTCTGATTTTGGAATCGTAATGTCACGCGAGTGTACATAATCACGATAATTTTGATTAGTTAAAAGCGAACCTAAAACATTATAAAGTGTTCATGAATTGTTTATCTTCCTAAATTAGTGACAGTTGTCCGTGAAGGCCATGAATTATGAGAAGTTGTGGAAGAAATAAATTATCTTATAAAAAGGCGGGCCAGCTTACTTAAGTATTCTAAAGTTATCGGGCCTGATTGTTGCATTCTACTTTTAGAGCAATTAACCCATTTATCAATGAATATTAAGGTAAAGGCAACTAGTTTCCGGGAAGATGGATTCTCAGCAGGGCAATGTCAGCGGTGATTAAGCTTTTTCGAACAAATAGAACAACTACAGAAAATTGCAACAAAGGTAATTTTTCATTGCTGATTCGGTGAAGAAGAGAGATTAAGGGGTCGTTGAGGGCTTTGTTTCAGCGAAGAAGAAGAAGCTCCTCCTTTGGAAAATGGCTGAATTTTTCTTCCTTCGGGATCTTTTTTTTTTAGCTAGGTCTAGGTCTAGACCTTTGATTTTGGAATTAGGTATTATTTTATAAGGGGTAGGAATTAGGCTAGGTCAAATGGGGAATGGGTATGGGTTCAATGTTTTGGGCTATCCGAAATTGGGCCTTTTCCATTAAGACCAAACAAAATTAGCCCCAAATTTCATACTCTTTCTTCTAAAACAAGACCAAAAATACTACACCATTTACTAATTAATCCTACTTAAGTAAAATAACTATAAAAATAAAATTAACCGTTAAAACAAACTTATTTTTGGTATTTTTCAAATATGATACTAAAAGATAAAAATAGAAAAAATCATTGTAAAATTAAAATAAAATTCCTGAAAATAAAGTGGAACTATTTTTGTATTTTTGAATTTTATGTAAGTTAATAAATTAAAAGTAACTAGATAAAATAATAATTAGCTAAATAAAAAAAATATTTTTGAAATTTTCATTTTTGTGATAAAGTAAAAGAGAGCGATACTAAACCTAAACTAAATATTTACGCTAAAATGTGTAAAATCTTGGGGAGAGTCAAAAATTACATGTCTACAGTTGTCATATTGGCCTACGTTGATGATCTCCTCATTAGTGGGAACAATCAGAAATTATTATGCAATACTAGATCAGATCTTACGAAGAAATTCAAAATGAAGGAGATCTAGGTTAGCTCAAATTCTTCTTAGGAATTGAGTTTGCAAGGTCCAAAAGAGGGATTCTTATGTGCCAAAGAAAACATGCATTAGAGTTAATTTCCGAGTCTGGTTTAAGTGGTGCAAAGCCAGCTGGAACACCACTAGAACTGAATCAGAAGCTAACCTCAGTAGAGTATGACAATCACTTCAAGAGTGACAGTGTCCAAACAGATGAAAATCTTGACAATCCTGGTGTTTATCAAAGACTCGTTGGAAAGCTGCTAAATCTTACTATGACAAGACCTGATATTGCTTTTGTGGTTCAAGTTCTCGGTCAGTATACGCATTGTCCTAAGAGGTCTCACATAGAAGCAGCACAGAGAGTTGTAAGGTACATAAAAGAAGCTTCTGGCTTGGGCCTTTTCTTGCTTGCAGACTCTTCAGATCAACTAAGTGCCTTTTGTGATTCAGACTGAGGGGCATGTATACAAACTAGAAGGTCAGTTACAGGGTACTTGGTAAAGTTTGGAAGTGCATTGATATCCTAGAAATCTAAGAAGCAGAGCACTGTGTCTAGGATTTCAGCTGAAGCTGAGTTTAGAAGCATGGATTCATGTGCAGCAGAATTTAACTGGCTGGCAGGACTATTCAGTGAACTTGGTGTGAAGATTGAGCTTACTATAACTTTGGTGTGTGACAGTAAAGCTGCAATACAAATTGTAGCAAATCCAATCTTCCATGAAAAGACAAAACACATTTATATAGTGTTAGTTTGTATGGATCCACCAAATCGTAGAGTACCTAGTCCTCTACAAGATTCTGCTGAGCACACTTAGTAAAGCAGTAAGTAAATGAGGCGGAGGATTTTTACGTGGAAAAATCCCGCACAAGGGGATGAAAAAAACCACGACCTACACTGTAGGCTATTAACTTCACTAACTTGTAATCTTACCTATTACAAGCCACTCTACAATACTTCCGATTGCAAAGGATTTACTCAACTAACTTGTGGTACCTTTACCACAAGCCACTTTGTGACTATCCTAGTTACAAAGGCTTTTTCTAACTTGTGGTGCTGTCACCGCAAGCCACTTTGTAACTCTACGATTACAAAGACTTTTTCTTTTAGGAACTGGTCCGTAGTGGCGTTCAACCTTGTTCTTCAAGCTTGAGAGGATGATTTTTCTATTTTTGCAAGAGGCTTGAATGATAAAATAGAAGCCTTCCAATCATGTTTTGTATAAAGCTCATTGTGGGTACATCTTGATCACATCACTTGAAGTGATGTGAGTACTTTGTTTGGTTAGAGAATGAGTGGGCGGACAGTGCAGTGCAGTGCGGCAGAAACAGTGTCGTCAATCACTTCATTTCTAGTTGTGTCCAATTGACTTTGTACTTCTACGAGGAAACCACAAGAGCATCAGGTCCTTGTGTTGGTTCCTAGCTCCTGAAGTTGTAGCAGTTCACCTTTAGCTGGAATCCATTAAAGCTTGCAGCAATTCAAGTAGGTCAGGTTCCCTATTTGGTTCTCAACAGTAAGTTTGTTAGATCATCAAAACGTAAGGCAAGAGTATTTAAGATCTATCAATTTCCCCCTTTTTGATGATGACAAACTTAGTACTGACTTCCCCTTGAGACTATGTAATTTAAGAACCAGCTCCCCAATTTGTTCCCCCTGAATCCTATATATATCCTATATTTTATTCTTCCCCCTTTTGGCATCATAAAAAAAAATAACAGCACAAAGAAGTCGAGCCAAGCTAACTCATGCCACATATGTGCACACAAACATGATAGAGAACAGAACACATACAGAAAGTACAGGACATAATAAAAGAGGATTCATACCAAAAAATTTTAAATATGCCTCTGCCTTTTGAAAAAGGAGGAGGCAACATTGGACTTGTTAACAGGAGCAGCAGTAGTACATCCCAACCATCAAAAAGAAAACAAAAAAAAAACATCCACCAACCATCAACAAGGAAATAAGAAAAGAAGCATATCCAGAAGACTGGTCACTGAAGGGGTTTTTTAGGGGGCATTGGGAGAAAAAAGGCTTGGTAGCTGCGGCAAGTGTCTGGTGAACAAGATCTATTCGAGCGTTTCCCAACTTTTGCTCGTTGAGCAGTTCAGCCTTCAGGTTCTCGACTTGCGCCCTGAGATCAGCATTTTCTTGGGTCAAACGGATCACCTCATCATTTGACATGGGAACCGCTCGGGCTTGCTGACCTTCCAGCATAGCATTCCTAGCCTTTAATCGACGCATCTCCTCAGCCGCGCTGCTCTGGGAATTGATGAGCTGAGACACCGTTGAAGTACTCCCTACACCCCCATACTTCTCAATACACTCGCACTCTTCCAAGGTTGTCTGTGAGAATGTCTTCTTACGGGTCCCCACCTTACCTGCTCCCAGTGGAACCTTAAAGAATTTGAACACCTGAGTGAGAAAGAATCCATAGGGAAGCCCGTGATTACCATCCTTGAAATTGGCCACCTTCTGCATGTGTTCAATCATTATCGCAGGCAGACTCACAGGGTTGAAACCATCCAGTTGCTCCATTAGGTATAGATCCGATTTGGAAGTTACAGACCTCCTTTCTACTCGAGGCAACAATACTTTGTTAACCAGCTCAAACAGTAGCTGGTAAACACGAAGTAGTGCTTTCTTGTGGATCTGGTCCCCTTTCTAATTAGAATTATCTTTCACCACTGCATTTCAGAAGTTTTACTGGCAAACATCTCGTACACTCGACACTCCAACCGTAGGAACTTGCAAAATTTCTCCAAGCAATTGCACGTCAAAGACAATGTCCACCCCATTGACCAAAGCACAAACATGATCAGTATCGACTGGAAAAAGACTAGCGAAGAAACTCTGTACCTCCTCCTCATATACTTTAGGGGCATCAATGTAGAACAGGTGCATCCATTGTTGAAACTCCACCATTTCCAGAATTTGGCGCATTCCAGCCATCTCCGAGATTGTTGGGTTAAACATACGACCCATCAGAACTTTCCGATGCCTTAGGCGCTGAGAGCCAAGGCAGAGCTCACTTCTTGCTTTCTTTCCAGAACTAGGTTCTTTAACTGTTTCAGACTTGCGTTTCCTATGCTTTTCTCCACTGACTTTGCCTTTCCCCTTGGACTTGATAGGAGTATCCTCATCACTCACTACCTCCTTCATCTTGGACTTAGAAGTAGACCCTTTCTCCAGGTAAATAGACTCAGCCCTTTTCGAGGACCGCCGTACAAGGGAACCAAGTTCCTCAGGAGTTCCTTCTTCCACCTCAACTATAGGAATAGCTTTATCACTTACACGTATACCATCCTTCACCAACTTTCTTCTTTTCTTCTTACTACTTTTCTTGCTCTTTTGGAGTGCAGAATCAGAAGCCACTTTGACATGAAGCCTGGTAGTGGGTCGCTTGATTTCAGACTCAGTGATGGAAACAACCCTTCGCTTACTTATGAATGCATCAAGGACCACATTGTCCAGTTCTTCTTCATCACTAGATCGCATTTCTGGTGCTTCAATTTCTAGGGGCACAGCATCGAATGCAGGAACCGCACTGTCCTGGGGCTGAGAATCCTGACTTGGATCCTCCGAAGAAGGATCAGGATCCTCATGTGAGGCCCCAGTAGTGTATGTTACTGCAGCCCCTTCAAATGCCAAAATGATCCCTTCTTCCCCCATGCTTCACGACTCATGTTTATGGGAAATAACTTCATGCAACACCCCATCAACGGATACCAAAAACATAGTCTTTTCTTCTTCAACCGGTGTTTCCACAACCATGGAGTCGACGACAATGATAGCGGAGCCTTTTGTGCACTCAGTATTTTGACCTTGTTCTCCGCTTAGGGTTTGACTCGTGTGGGCAACAGATGACGGAGAAAACGGAACAGTAGTTTCAAGGGTTTCTGAGTTGGAAAGAGGTTGGGAAACTAGGGAAGGTGTGACTGTATCAGTAGGAGTGATAGAGTGTTGGGAAACTAGGGAAGGTGTGACTGTATCAGTAGGAGTGATAGAGTGTAACAAGGACTCAGTGATGGCGAGAAGTTCCATAGACGGGTCAGAGGTGGTTACAGCTGAGGCAGAGAGATCGGAATTTTTCTCAGCCATTGGAACAGGTGGTGTGATGATCCTTTCTTGTTGGGTGAATTTAGAATAGGGCTTATGGTTAAGAAGGGAAGAAGAGAGGGGTTTTTAAACGGAGAGGATAATTATGAAGAGAGAAGAATAGGCACCGGTTCTGAAACGGCGATTGGGCGTGGAGAATTGTGATGTTTCAGAGGGAGATGGAACGTTTTGAATTGAAGGGATGTGATAGCCGGATCTGAAAAGTTGATGATATCGCAGTTGTATTTTGTACCTTTTAAGACGTGTATCAAAGGATGCACAGAACTACTAACCTTTAGTACAAGAACCTGGTTCTTGAAAAACATTTTCTTCAAGCCCCATTTTTTTTTAAAAGAATTAATCCTCTTTTATCAGTCATGTACTGCATCTACTGCTTCTATGCTTATCATGCGTGTCTACCTGCAACGGTATTGAAGTGAGTTAGACAGGGCCAGAAAACACTTTGAACTAATTATTTCTTAAGAATGCTAGCCAGCTAAGAGGAAACAGGTTCTTAATTTGGCTTCAACAGTCCCAGCTTTACTCTGTTTCTTTCAAACTGTTCCCTACTTAGTGCCTTGGTGAAAATGTCTGCAATTTGATCTTTTGTGCTGCAGAACTTCATGCATGTCAACCCTTTCTCCACATTATCTCTAAGAAAATGATGCATCACATCAATATGTTTGGTCCTTTTATGTTGAACTGGATTCTTTGCCATGTTGAGTGCACTGGTGTTGTCACATAGGAGAGGCACACTCTCAGTGAGAACTCCAAAATCCTCCAGCTGCTGCTTGATCCACAGAAGTTGAGCACAGCAGGATGCTGCAGCTACGTATTCAGCCTCAGCTGTTGAAAGAGCCAGTGAATTTTATTTCCTTGTCCCCCAAGAGATAAGACATGATCCTAAGAAGTGAGCCATCCCAAAAGTGCTTTTTCTGTCCACAAGATAACCTGCATAGTCTGCATCAGCATACCCAATTAGATTAAAACTGTCACCTGATAGATAATACAGCACCAGGTCCAGCGTTCCTTTGAGATATCTCATTATTCTTTTAGCATCCTTCAAGTGAGATTCCTTGGGATTTGATTGAAACCTTGCACACATCCCCAAGCTGAAAACAATATCAGGTCAACTGGCAGTGAGATAGAGGACAGACCCAATGATGCCTCTATACATTGTTTGATTCATAGGAGTTCTAGCTTCATCCATGTCCAGTCGAGTGGCAATTGCAATGGGAGTGTCTATCACCTTCGATGCTTCCATGTCAAACCTCTTCAAAAGTTCCCTGATGTATTTTTGCTGACAAGTGGAAGTACCTTTTGGGGACTGTTTTACTTGAAGACCCAAGAAGAAGT